ACCTAAATTGGATTTAAAAGAATTGACTTCCAATTCAATGGATTTAATTATGATTATCTTCATTTACCCCAACCTGGCTTATTTGGGCTGATCTTGAAAAAGCAAACAGGGTATCAGGTCTGCCATCTTCAGCTTCTTCGCTTTGCTGGCATAAAACATAGGGGGAGGGAAGAAGGAATTTTGGATAGTAAAGTTCAAGCATGAGAATGGGAAGACAAATGGCAGGAGAGGAAACACATTGACAAGAATCAGAGATGCCGTGGTCGTGTAAAAATATAAAAACTTTTTGGATTAAGATATGGTGGAATATTCAAAGAATTTTTAGAAGGAGGGTAAAATTTACCCCACAATTGTTCTTGTTAGGTATTGTTACTGATTGTGATACTAAGGAGATTATATTGATGTTAAATTTAATTACAGCCGCAAGGTTGTTAGTAGGGCAATGTTGGAAGAAGGAATCTTTGCCTACTTTGCAAGAGTGGTTTCTTAAAGTTTCTTATTTGGCGGAAATGGCAAAGATTTCGGCTTTCTTGAAGGATCAATCGCAAGAGAAGTATTTTGCGGTATGGAAAAAATGGATAGATTTTATACAACATAAGTTGGATATAAAAAATATTATTTAGTTTTTCAATAACATATATAAAATTTAATATTTTATAGACTGTACTCTTTTTTTCTTTTATTTTTTATTTTTATTGTATTTTCTTATATTTCTTTTCTTTTTTCCTTTCTTTTTTATTTTTTTTTCTTCTTAATATTTATGTTTTTTACACATATATTATTGTTAATCATTTTATAAGTTGTTTACGTAATGTATTTAGACTTATTTATGGTTTATAATTTTTTTTTAAGATTTTTTGAAGAAATTTCAATTAAGCCTATATTCAGCTCTGGGAAGGTTGGGGGAGGGAATGGGAGGGTCGGGGAGGGTTGGGCAGGATTATTTTTGTAAAATTTTAAAAATTTTCAATAAATAAAAAAAAAAGAATCAGAGACGCCAATCCGGAATAAGTGAGCCTCCAAGGACACCTGGCTCGAGAACAGAATACGAAACTACATTAAGAGGCGCCCAGCATCAAAGCGGTTCCCTCTAAAACAGACATGTCAAATTCGCGACGTCACATGACGTTGCGCAATGTATCAGAGCTTTTTCACCATTGCCAACAATGGGGTGGGCGCGGCTCTGGTATGATGAAACCGGCCGGCGGCCCGGCAGTTTGACACCCTGCTCTAAAATATCAAAATGGCCTTCTATTGCACATTGATGGACTGGTCAGGGAGGGAAGGCCAGGGAAAGGGGGAAAAGTGTAACCTTTGCACAGGAATACTCAGATCTAGTTTCACTTTCGCTGCAGCCACTCAACTTTAGTAAAAGAACTTTATCACTTCAACCAAATGGAGTCGAGGGTCTTTCTTTCCTAGAGATCAAAGTTGGGGCAGGTCTGACACAGGGTGAGTACTTGGGATTCAGTTAGATCAGTGGTTCTCAACCTTTTTAATGCCGCGACCTCCAACCGGTCGTAAGTCGAGGACTACTCAACAGGTCGTAAGTCGAGGACTACTCAACTGGTGCAGCACCGTTTGCAGAATGGGACTTTTGGCGGGCTCAGCAGGGCAGAGACAGCCTGGACAATTCCTATTGGCTTTTGAAAGCCAATAGAATTAGACTCTATTCAAGAGAGTCTATTCTATTGGCTTTCAAAAGCCAATAGAATAAAAGGGAGTAGCACAGCTAAGGAAAAGGGGAAAAAAATGGCAGACTGCATTGTTTGGCGACCCCCGTGAAATGGTCGTTCGACCCCAAATGGGGTCCTGACCCACAGGTTGAGAACCACTGAGTTAGATTGACAGAAAGACCATCTTTTAAAAAAAGCATCAACCTTTTTTTTTTAAAAAAAAAGGATTGGTAAAAGTGAACAAACATCAAGTAGTCATGAGGAGCTGAACAATAGTAAAGGGAGAGTTCACCTTTTTTCGCTAGTTGATCCTACTAAAAATTACAATTTAGTATCAAGTTTTAGAAGGTGCTTGAATCACATGCAACCCGTATAGTATTATTGTACATTAAGTTTTTTGGATATAAAGGTCATCCATAAATGTGGAATTTAACTGTCTGATGTTCATTATCGTAGGACGATTAATATATGTAACCACTGAGTGTGCATATCCAGATTGAATACCTGTGGATTTTGCTATGCAAAGCAGTTGACTTTCTACCTGGGCGAGGCCCCATAATTAATATTTTGAACTGAAAATGACCAAGGCTCACTAGAACTGCTACTGAGGCACATCATCTACTTGGAAGATAAATGCCATATAAATAAAACTGAAACCCAATTTGTAACCTAAATTATTGTTTATTCAAGGGTAATTTGTTCTGATCTTATTCTCCAGTACACAAGCATTAACTGATTGATGCTGAACTCATAAAAAGCTTTAATTACTCCACTTCAAGTGGAACTTTCCTTTTTAATAACTAGGAAGCATTCATTAAACTGTAACATTGTGACACTCCCTCCAATATCCTAAAGTAAACAGGATTGATATTATGCTTCTTTGCAAGTCTGATAATCAATTCAAAATTCAGAGGTATCCGTGACTTTTCTGATAATTTCTATAACTGATAAAAGTTGCACTCATAACCAGAAATTTTATAGACCATTATTAAGCCAGAAATATTTTAAGATTTTGATCCATGTTGATGTATACTAAGTCTGTTAATCTTAAAAGTGCCACATTATCTATTATTGGAATATAAAAATAAGAAATTTACCTGAGATTTTTTTCATTAGTCATAGATAGCTCAGATTGGAAAAGAAGCATAACGTTGATGCTCTTTATTTTAGGATGGGCTAAAACCCATCTTTTAAGTAGAAAACCATCAATTTTCTTAGCAAAAATGAAGCACCTTAAGTCTGAATAAATAAAAGACTATCATGAAGATCCTTGCTTCCTTTCTGGTGAGTTTCTAAAAAGTCTGTTTTCTTCCCTTTTTTTTAACCACTAAATATAATAGACAGTGACTAGAAACCTTATGCCAGCAACTGGCTTACGTGTCTCAATTTAACTAGGATGCCATTATTTCTTATGCTTAGGAATACGAGAAGGGAAAGCTAGTATATGACCTATTTCACAGAAGTGACAAATTTGACAAGTAACTGCATTAGCCTGTTGCAACAAGTACGGCAGTTTGCACTGACAGGGAGGATGAAATAAGATCACCCCATATTTAGGATTTTGGATTTCCTTCTTTAAAATCCATTCTGATAATCCAGTTTTTCTTAAGTCCTGTAGTTGAATGCGATTTTGCCCTTGGCTGCTACCACTCTCAAGTTGGGAAGGTCTTTCTGACAAAGTTAGCAACCTTGCAAAATTATGTGCTTTGCTCCATCAGTCACAAATAACGCCCTGATGAAATGTGGGGGAAAGCACACAGGGTAATGAAAAGAACCTCATATGTTATAAAACCAGCTGCTAGCTTGGAAGATATTCTGTTTTCTCTAAAGTGACTTCCTCAAAAATTCAGCCTCACTGTTAATCATCTTCAGTTGAGGTTTCCTTCACTTCAGTGCATTCTTCTTTGTTCTTCTATAACAGTGGTTCTCAACCTGTGGGTTGGGACCCCATTTGGGGTTGAACGACCATTTCACGGGGGTCACCAAACAATGCAGTCCGCCATTTTTTCCCCCTTTTCCTTAGCTGTGCTACTCCCTTTTATTCTATTGGCTTTTGAAAGTCAATAGAATAGACTCTCTTGAATAGAGTCTAATTCTATTGGCTTTCAAAAGCCAATAGGAATTGTCCAGGCTGTCTCTGCCCTGCTGAGCCTGCCAAACGTCCCATTCTGCAAACGGTGCTGCACCAGTTGAGTAGTCCTCGACTTACGACCGGTTGAGTAGTCCTCGACTTACAACCGGTTGGAGGTCGCGGCATTAAAAAGGTTGAGAACCACTGTTCTATAAAGATCCTTCCTATCGTTTCTGGAATCTCCTTTTCAATCTCAGCTTTTGACCAAATACCTTAAACCTTTTTTAGAGTTATCAACATCAACCAAGATAGTTGCAGCACTGTTAGTCCAGAATGGCTGCCCAAATGTTTAGGTAGACTGACATGGTGTTCCATTCTTTTACTTCCCCGGTGAGTTTAAGAGATGGTTTGTTACTTATGAACACCTCCAGCAACGCATGTCCTTCTGGTTTCAGGAGATAAGATCGTATTTATTCTTTGAGGATGCATTCTATATAACTCTGCTCACGCTGGTGAGCATTTTTTTTGCTATTCCATATTTATTTGCTATTGGTCTAATTAAATCTATGCAACCTTAATCCGATATGGTTAATGCTCTTTTCCAGGTTTGCCCATAAAAGACCCATAATTTTATGGGACAACATGATGTCATTACCAATGTTTTACTTTCTGTATCTGACAAAGAATTTGTCTGCTGATTTACACAAAGTAATCAATTTCCACTAAAAAGAACAACTTTTGATTTGAGGGCACTAATGTACTGTATATTCAGCAACAATTCTACCACATTCAGTAAAGATGTTATTCTTCTTCACAAACATCTCATCTCGTCACCTAAAATATCCAAGATTTTGTACAGCATAGTTCAAAAATCCCCGCACCTATTTGGATTAACCTAAAGTCTTAACTTGGTCTGCAAATATTGTGCTAGTCTATTGAAAATAAAAAAGGATACAACCATTTGTGTTTATCTGATGCCTGACAGTGGAATTTTCTGATAATGATCCAAATATGGGCCTGTCCCATCCAGATTCTGATCCATTGTTTGAAATTATAGATAATATATATTTACATATATCCAGAATGTCAGCTAATACAGCTCAATCAACTATACTTGTATTACCTTACTTTAACAAAAAGTGTGCACGCTCCTATCAGAAAACAAACTAATGAAAATTCAGAAAGGATTTCTAATTATACAAGTTCACAATCCTTTTCTGCGTTAATTGAATACTCGAAGCAACATCAAATGGTTACGGTGCTTGTGACTTTTTTTTTCTTTATTCACTCCACATAGAAAATCATGCAGTATTAATGTAAAACAGTACAGTATTCATGTAAAATGCACATTCGGTAAACAAGCCATTAGCATACCAACCCATTTTTTATGAACTACACAGACACAAATCACGTACTCTTGTACAACAATGGAGCACCGGGGAAGTGGGAGGGAGGAGGAGGAGAGAATTAAAAGCAGTGTTTTAACCAAATTTCCTTAAAAAAAAAAAAAAAAAACTGGATTCTCCAACTGAAGCAAACTGACATTTCCCCCCAAACTAAAGACTTGTCAAAGAAAGGTGTTAACAGCTACACATTAAAAGCTATAATTCAGCACAGAGATAGACTGACTCATGCAGCTAAGGAACAGGCAAACATTTTTATTCTCAGCCTGGACTAGGCAATAGTTGTCATCAGTGTTGCCTAAGAAAACCAGCTAAAAAGCTGTCCACAGATGCCTTTACCTATAGAAAGTCTGGTTTCAATGCTGAACCATTTTGAAGATCTGTCACACTCAGTAACTGGACATATAAAGAGCAGAGGACATTCATACAACCTAAACTTTAAAAATAACCCAAGATATCAAAACTTGAAGAGCGCCTCTTAATGAAGAGCTTTATACTTGAGACACAGAGAGAATATTCAAGCTCCATCACTCAGATTTTCAAATAATGGACAGACTGAGATCAAAGGAGGCCTCGTGAAGAATATCCTGTAGACATAAAGTGGAGAGTGAGAATGTGAAGAGTTTCCACATTGGCACTATATATATATATACATATAGTGCTTTTGGCACTATATAGATATATATATATATAGCGCTTTAAAAAAACAAAACAAAAAAAAGAAGACATAACAAATCAGTTCTTGGTGGTTTTTGATGGACTTGCACTGGACAGGCTGCTCTGAATTTTCCTTTTGGCCGATGAATGGATGCTTTTGGCTTTTCTGTCGGGTACGAACGATGAAGACCAAGGAGACTGGAGTTGGTTTTGGAGGTTTTGAAGCTCAGGAGCCATCTTAAAGAGGGAGGAGCCCAGTTTATGCTCGTCAAAAGGTCCTTGAGAGCTGTTGAAAGGAAAGCTTGGGGAAAGCTCTCGCTGGAATAAGAAGCTCTGAGGCTTTATTTCACTCGTTTCAGAAGTCCGGCTTGCAAACAGCGGGAAAGACTCCGCAGTTTCTAGTGAAGATGGAGAAAGGATGGAAAAAGTCGCAAATTTCCACTCGTTTCCCTCTTCTGAAGGATCCCTGCTGAGAGGGCTCTTCAGAGGACGCGGCTCTTTCCTTTCCTTTTCGTTCTTACCGTTTTCGGTTAAGTGATCGGGACACTGGGTCGTCTTGCAAGAATTATCCAGGTCAGAAGAAGATCTGGAGGTGTAATAGGGGCTCTTGCTGTTGTCCGACTCCGACATCATGGAATCCAGCTCAGAAATCTTATCGAGGTAAGCCGCGTCCATAGACGCCTCGCTAGATGTCCTGGTGCGATTCATTTCGGAAGAACGAACCGCGTGCAGTTTTTTCAGCACGCCCAGATTATGGCTTTTTTCACTTGATTTGGATAAAGACTCTGCAGAGTCACTGGTGGCCGTGTTGGGCTCTGAGCCTTCAAAGTCCAAGTTCTCGCCGTAATGTGGCTGGCACCTGTTCCAAAAGTCTGGTTTGTCTGAAGAGAAGCAACCTTCCTTGTGTTCGCCACTCTCGCAACTGCTGACGCTGTGCTCTGGGGAGTCTTTGTTACAGTCGTCGGAAGCCTCTCCGAAATCCTCAAATTCCAATTTCCTTAGGAAGGTTGATGGCTCGCTTGAGGTTTCCTCTTTCGCCGCAGGGTCGTCCTTATTATTGGGAGTGTTTAACTGCAAGCAACTGAGAGACAACGGAGTGCACGGATCCGGAAGATCGTAGAGTTCTTCTTTATAGGGTGCACAGTCCTCAATTTTATCCCAGGCTGCCTCCGAACAAGTATCCATGTCAGAGCTGCCAATATCCAAAAGACCCTCTTGAGAGCTTCGGAAAAGAGATGTATCTCTTCCAGCAGTTCCTGGGGTAACCGGATCATCCGAACAAGCCTGGCTAGTTGAATTTAAGCAGATATCATTGCTGGTCCCTAAAAGTCCTGCTGGCTCCTCAAGATCGCTAGGGCTATGACTCGCACATAAACAAGTTGGATCTATGGCTTCTTGAGGGCTTGGGGAAGCCTTGCTGGGGGGACTTTCACAGTCTTTATCCTCCATGGAGGCGGCAGTTACATTTTCCGGGCTTGTGCTTTTCCTCTGGTCCCATTCCCGCTTCATCTGTGCGATCTGTGACTCCAGATCTTCTATATAGGCATCGCTCCTTTCCAACGCCTTCTTAAGACGGTTCGTTTCCTGCTCACATTGCTCCAGCCTGGTTTGAAGGGCTGCCATGGTGAACCTCCCTAACCTGCAAACAAGCAAGCAAACAAACAAATAAATGAGCAGAAAGGATCCAACAAAAATGAAAGGAACACTGATGCAACACCGACAAAACTATGGTCAACGCAATTTCCTAGAGGTCGTGTCAGAAGAAAAGGAACAGGGGGTAGATCATCTAGAGAACACGCTGCAGGCAACAGTTCACTTAGTGACTGCTCGGAGTCACAAGGGCACAGGAAAAAGTGACTTACGGCCATTTTTCACACTTAGGACCACGGCAGCATCTCCAGGGTCACATGATCAAAAATCAAGATGCTTGGCAACTGGCTTATATTTATGATGGTCACAGTGTCCTGGGGTCATGTGATCCCCTTTTGATGCCTTCTGACAAGCATCATCTGGGGAAGCCAGATTCACTTAACAATCGGTGGTTCACTTAACAAATGTGGCAAGAAAAGTTGTGAAGTGGGGCAAAAACTCACTTAACAAATGTCTCACTTAGCAGCGTAAATTTTGGAGCTCAGCTGTGGTCGTTAGTTGAGGACTACCTGTATTTACTTCGGAACCCAGCCTAAATCACAGACAACCCCATTCCATTTATTGGGAAATAAAGAAACAAGAGGCTTAGTAACAGATAGGTAACTAATCATTTTTCTCTGCAAATTAAGAGGCATTTCTAAATCTTTCCAAAATTTGGTACAGAGATTCTGATCATGGAACCTAACTCCACAGAGGTGCGACACAAAATTTTCCCTGGTGGACTGTGTCATTAAACTATAGGGTGTTGTCCATCCTAGCACCAGATCTTGCAGAACACAAACGCAAGCAATTCTCCTATCTCCTTCAATCACAACACGTCGAACTATTTCCACGGTTTCAATTAAATTTCTCTTCTTGAACAAATCAATACAGTTACACATTTGTCACTGGTATGGTTCAGTAGATACTATTTGACACACACACAAACACACACATCTCACTTCAATGTAGTGAGGAGGAACCTAGTCCCTTAATTTAAGATAGACCAACTACACACTACATCCTGGACTCAAGAAGACCTGTAAGAACAACTGGATGTGCAGCCAACATTTGAGGCTGGATTGTTACTGCCATTCTCTCCCTTAAAGAGCTGATATGAAGCATAAGATCATGGATAAACTTGCTATAGTCAACCCTCATGACTGTTTTCTGTCCATCTCTCTCCCTCTCTCTCTTTCTATCTCCATATATAGTATATCACATCAGTGACATTCAGCACCATTAAACTTCTATCTATCTGTCTGTCTGTCTGTCTGTCTGTCTGTCTGTCTGTCTGTCTGTCTCAGTGGTTCTCAACCTTTCTAATGCCGTGACCCCATAATACAGTTCCCCATGTTGTGGTGACCCCCAACCACTTATACATCACCGGGTGCCAGGGGCATGGCCAAGGAAAAGGGGGGAAAAATGGCGGACAGCCTTGTTTGGCGACCCCCGTGAAATGGTCGTTCGACCCCAAATGGGGTCCCGACCCACAGGTTGAGAATCACTGATCTATCCATATCTATCTATCTATCTATCTATCTATCTATCTATCTATCTATCTATCTATCTATCTATCTATCATCTCAGCTTTGTATTATAAAAGGGAGCAGAGAATACTTTTCTAAAAAAAAAAAAAGGTCTAGAGAAGAAAATGAAACCATTAGCAGTACAAAGGCAATAACCAGCAGATTAATCTTTTAGGGATTGGTCCTATCCTTTCAACTCAAATATGCATGAAGAATTATCCCCTAAAACAATGGCAGAGATTTATGATAACATTTGAACAGCGGTCCACATCTTGAAATATTTACATTCAATCATTCTTACAGCCCAGCCGCATTTTACAATATACATTTCATCCACAATGTCACCTTGTCACATATAAAAATGCCAATATGAAATTCAGTAATTGTCACCATCCTTTAGAATGGCTTGATTTTCTTTCTTTCTTTCTTTCTTTCTTTCTTTCTTTCTTTCTTTCTTTCTTTCTTTCTTTCTTTCTTAAAAGGAGGACTCATTTGGAGGCTCACAATTATACACTGCTCTGATGAACAGCTCTTGGTCAGTCTCTACAGGGCTGAAACTGTTAAAAGAAAATTCCGTGTATATCTTCTGCTAAGAAAGAAAGACAGAAAGACAGAAAGAAAGAGAAAAAGAAAGAGAGAGAGAGAGAGAGAAAGAGGGGGGAGGGAGGGAGGAAGGAAGAGAAAGAGAGAAAGGAAGGAAGGAAGGAAGAAAGAGAAAGAAAGAAAGAGAGAGAGAGAAGAAGGGAAGGAGGGAGGAAGGAAGAGAAAGAGAGGAAGGAAGGAAGAAAGAAAGAGAAAGAAAGAAAGAAAGAGAGAGGGGGAAGGGAGGGAGGAAGGAAGAGAAAGAGAGAAAGGAAGGAAGGAAAGAAAGAAGGAAGAAAGAAAGAAAGAGAGAGAGGGAGGGAAGGAGGAAGGAAGGAAGAGAAAGAGAGAGAGGAAGGAAGGAAGGAAGGAAGGAAGAAAGGAAGAAAGTGGCTGTTCAAAGGTACAACGTCAGTGAAAAAAAGTGACATGACTATTTTTCACATTTACAGTTTATACAGATAACAAGCTGAGATTAGGAGCATTCCCTTTAAGAGAGTGCTCCTAATCTCAGCTCATTATTTGTATAAAAGATACCTGGGAGCCAGAACTCTTGTTGATTGATAGAGGATCAAATACTTATTTCACTCATTAAAATACAAATCGATTTATAACTTTTTGAAATGCGTTTTTCTGGATTTTTTGTTGTTATTCTGTCTCTCACTGTTAAAATAAACCTACCATTAAAATTATAGATTGATCATTTCTTTGTCAGTGGGCCAACGTACAAAGTCAGCAGGGGATCAAATATTTTTCCCTCACTCTGTGTGTGTGTGTGTGTGTGTGTGTGTGTGTGTGTGTGTGTGTGTTTACCTCAAGGTAACTCTTTCCTTACTTTAACGCCAACATCTTTGAGGGAAAAAAAGCAAGTGCTTGAAGCGAGCAATATTTTAATAAGGATTCAGGGAACTTCTTGATTGTTTTACTTCATGCTATCATTTTATTTTTATTTTAAAGTTTCTCTACTGCAACAGGCTAGGGCATTTACATTGAGGCTCCCAAATTTCAGAGGCTCTAGATGCCCAAATTGAGCCCAAACGTTGGCTTGTTCTCTACTGATCAAGAGAGTAAGATTAGAAGAACTAGGTCAAAACTACTGGGAAACTGATTTTAGATAACATTAGGAGCATCTTCCTGAGGCTGGAAGCTCTTTTGAAAAATTGGAAGTTACTGCTGTGGCGAGATCACAGATACTGGTGGGATTTGAGAAGCATCTGGGAGCTACAGTTTAAGGTGCCCTAGCTCTGTGGTTCTCAACGTTTGTGTGACGGCGACCCCCGTCACACAAATGTTATGCGCATGCGCGGCGCCACGCGCATGGGGGCACTGCCCCATGCGCAGTGCGCATGCACGGTGCCCCTATGCACGGCGCCCCCATGTGTGGTGCGCATGCGCGGCACCCCATGCACAATGCGCATGCGGGGGCGGCCCCATGCATGGCGCGCATGTGCGGGGCGGCCCCCTGAGGGGAGAAAATGGCGGATTGCCGCCTTTGGCGACCCCCGAAAAATGGTCGATCGACCCCAAATGGGGTCGCGACCCATAGGTTGAGAACCGCTGCCCTAGCTGAATCTGATTAAATATCCTTTACTGAGCGCACAAATGATGTTCTCCATGGTCCCTCCCGATATTATGAACTGAGATCAAGGCTAATCTTCATTAAAGAGTCCACTTGAGTGAAGAACCAGAAAGATCTTCTACTTCTACTTTAATGTTCTGGTTATGGGATTCTCTCTCAAGGAAGACTTGATCCTGAATTCTTCACTCAATTTATGGGTGTTACGCTGTTCCCTTTCCTGACCTTAGTTATTTCCCTCAGTTTGTTTCCTATATGCTTACAATCACAGTTTGTAGACGAGTAAAATTACAAACTGCACATCTAGTACGAAAGGACAAATGGCAGAAACATCCAGCCTTGTGGTATATCACTCATTTGTCGTTCCCAAAGATTGCAGTTCACTCTAAAGAAAACGCTATTGTCCTTCCAAAGTTGCAGAATTTAGCAGAGTCCATTTATATACGGATTTGGCCATAGGTTCTCAACGGAAGCAAGGTGCAATGTGCTTATTTAAAATGAGCCTCTAGTGTATTAAAAGCACAAAACTGCACAGAGGTGTCGGAAAGGGGAAGTTAGAGATCAAACAGTCATGTTCCATTTTTTTTGTTTAAAAAAAGATGCATTTGAAACAAATCTGGGCTGATCCTATAAGCAACCTATAAACTGCCAAGTGGAGAAACTGCTCAGAATTCATTTTGGCTCCCTCACCTCGCTGCACCTTCCCGTTTGGCCCAACAAGAGTTAAAGCCCAGTCCCATGAAAAATGCATGGAAGGGTTTTAAATATTTACATACCTCTGGGGTGACCGGCTTCCAACCTCAGCCTTGAGCTGCAAGTTCTCTCTCGCAAGGCTACCGTTTTCAAGCCTCAGTTTTTTATTCACCTACGTGGAAGTAAAAGGATTAACAACGTCAACAAACCAACATTGATTCAACTAGGCCCGATTTTAAGAAGAACGGGGATGAAATGTAACAACAGTGATGTCCGAAGCCAATTTTCTACTCTACTCTTAGAGATTTCCATCCAACAGAGACACCACTTAAAAATTACCCTGGGAGATGGCAGGCGGAAACTGACAAGAGAATAGACATTTTTAATTCATAATTCCAAAATACGCCGCGAGGCTCCTATCCAGGGAAATAAACAGAGCTGTGTTAGTTCAACCTAACGGTCATTAAAGGAGATATACTAATGGCAATTCAATGTTTCCTGCCTCCACTCCATGACTAAATTCTTTAAATGGATTGACATCGCGGTGTGCAGGTATCAGCAAAATGAATGTTGAACAACTTCCATGCTCTTCCAAGCAGACAAAGATTACTCAGTGGCATCTACTTTCTTTTTAAAGAGATAGACCCCCCCCCCACACACACACAATACACACAGAACAAAACTCATGACAGTAATTTGTTTGTCATTTTACTTGGGGAACATTTCTGGAAGGATGCTATCGGCAAGAGAAGTCATTCATAAATCCTCTTGACTCAATAAACAAGACATTTTTTTTTAAAAAAAAATACAATAAACTCCAAATAAGAGACTTGGCAATGGCACACACATATTGTATCAAGAAATTTAGAACATCCCAAAGGCTGCTTTCCATTGGGCTAATCTATTAAGCCAAGTAAAACAGATGAAGAACGGTTGCAGGAACTGGGAATGGCCAGTCTGGAGAAAAGAAGGACCAGGGGTGATACGAGAGCAGTATTCCAGTATTTGAGAGGATGCCACAAAGAAGAGGGGATCAACTTATTTTCCAAAGCACCAGAAAGCAAAACAAAAAAAATAGATGGAAACTAATCAAGGAGAGAAGCAACCTAGCACTAAGGAGAAACTTCCTAACAATGAGAACAATTAAACAATGGAACAGCTTGCCTTTAGAAGTTGTGGGTGCTTCATCACTGGAGGTTTTTAAAAAGAGACTGGACAGCGACTTGTCTCAAATTGTATAGGGTCTCCTGCTTGAGCAGGGGGATGGACTAGAAGGCCTCCAAGTTCTCTTCCAGGTGTTATTTTAATTGACGAGTATCCCAGAGATGAGCAATGCACGGATTTCATATTGTTTGTTGTAAGAGTAAGTTGGATATAGAGAAATTTGATTTTCGTCAAAGGCTGGCATATCTTACCCGATTCAGTTATTTCAGCTACTAACTTTCATAGTTTTAGTTCCAACTTAACCTCTGTGGATCTCATCTCATATTTAAGAGGTTCCTAAGAGGACATGTGTAAGCGCACTAACGTGCCTATCGTCCCTGTCACATTTTACTCTTTTTCATGCTGTTCGTTTGAATTTGTAACTTTTGTTTGAAGAATAAATAAAAACTAAAACAAACTAATAAAATTAATGAAATAAAATAAACAAAATAATAACATAAAATAAAAAAAATAAGGGCAACGTAATTCACTGCAGGCCAAGAAAGGGCGTAAAATGGGGCAAAATTCACTTAACAACAGAAATTATGGGCTCACTTGTGATATAAGTTGAGAACTAACTGTATCTATGTGGCCGCTAAGGAGTCAAAAGTAACTTGGTGGCACGTGATCATCATCAATCAGCAACCTATCAACCAGTGAGAACAAGAAACAGGGCAGTTCACAACGTCAGCCTTTCCTGAGTGTTCTCCAATAAAGCAGATGCTTCATGTACAAACATATCATCCTCTCCCTACAACAGGCTGACTTTTCTTTAGTAGTAAATACTTCTCTCGGGGATGAAGTTTTGAAAAATATTACTTGCTATCCCAGAAGCCAGTGGCTCCCAACCTTTTTGGCACTAGAAACCGGTTCCATGGAGAGAGGTTTTTTCCCCATGGACCAGAGGGGGTGTGGTTCCATGTGCTGCCTGCATCCCATGGATGGGGCTTTGCTTGTTTGTGTGGACCGGTTTCTGGCATGCTGTGGACCGGTGCCGGTCCATGGAGCAGGGGTTGGGGACCCCTACCGTAAACAACAGTTGCCTCTTCCAGCTATAAGCCCAAGCCCTAAAAATGAAAGGCTTTAGGGCTGGTTCTTTCAAACCCTGAAATGCCTCTTTTAAATCACTAGGACACCAGGGCCTTGTTTTAGTAAATGACATCACACATGTTATTGGTCAGCTCTAGAAGGTCGAGAGAGCTTCTCTCTCTCCGTCAGTGAGATGACATTTGCAAAACAGGAAGATGTTGGCCAGATACACGATAGATTATTGGAATCCTTGAAAGGAGATCTGGTCATCGATATTGAAATTAGCAATTAGCAGCTCCTGGATTGGAAAAAAAAGATCAGTAGACAAAACAGGAAGTGATTCTGACAATCAGTGTTTTCCTTTAGGACGGCTGTCAAAGAGAAAATAAGCATTCAGGCATTTGTGAAATATATACAGAATATAACAGAGGAACAGAGTTGAAAGGGATCTTGTAAGTCTTCTAGTCCAATCCCTTACTCAAACAGGAGACCATTCCAGACAAGTGGCTGTCAAGTCTCTTCTTAAAAGCCTCCAGAGATGGAGCACCCAGAACTTCTGGAGGCTAGTCATTCTACTGGTTTATTGTTCTCACTGACAGGAAATTTCTCCTTAGTTCTAGGTTGCTTCTCTCCTTGATTAATTTCCATCCACTGTTTCTTGTCTTGCCTTCCGGTACTTTGGAAAATAGATTGACCTCCTCTTCTTTGTGGCAGCCCCTCAAATATTGGAACACTGCTATCATGTCTCCCCTAGTTCTTCTTTTCACTGAACTAGACAAACTCAATTCCTGCAACCGTTCTTCACATGGTTAGCCTCCAGCCTCCTAATCATCTCTGTTGCTCTTTTCTGCACTCTTTCTAGAGTCTCTCTCTCTCTGTGTTTTTTATAATACGGTGACCAAAATTGGATGTAGTATTCTAACTGTAGTTTTACTAAGGCTTTATAAATTATAGCAATTAGCAACAACCAAATAATTTACACTGAGATATTCTCAACAAGACAAATGTCTAGATTCCTCTAGATGGTTTAGAACCTATCATCCTTCTGAATTCTCTCTTGAGAAAGACAGATGGCCTCCGTTTGTTCTTTGTAAATGAGCTATCCAACTCAACTAATGCACCAGGAGAGATATTCCTCCAAGATACAGCTTGATACCGGAGGCTCCACTTTTGGGATGAACAGCTAAGATTGCACAGTCGTTAACTTGTCCTGGATGGCAAAAATTTAGGCATAACAATTTAGGTCAGGGGTAGTCAACCTTGGCTCTTTTATGACTCATGGACTTCAACTCCCAGAATTCCTGAGCCAGCTAAGCTGGGAATTGAAATCCACGGAGTCATAAAAGAGCCAAGGTTGACTCCCCCTGATTTAGGTCAAGATTGGACTCAGAAGACTGAAATGCATTTCAGCCTGCACTTGAAGGGTTTTCTGGAAATGGAAATTAGGTTCAAGCAATGGCGTCATCAGGGCAAGACGTGATGACACAGTGAACAGGTAATTTCCTCAGGGCAATCAAACTGGGTTGACACATTTGAAATGAATGATACGGGGATTCTAAAGTGAGGATCCTGTAGAACCATTATATCCAGGGCCTAAGATAAAGTACAGCTGCTTGGATTCTAATTAGAATTGGGAGCTAGCAGCTTTCAGTGTTAAGGCACATTCTGGTTCTAGTGCTCAGGACATGGATGGCTGTGGTGTGTGCAACTCCAGTACGAGCTCGCTAACCAGGGCAAAACAGTGACCACAGAAGAGATAAATTTTTGAGATGATTCAAAGTTTTCACGAGTTGATTACCATTAAGTTTGTTAATAGAAGGTTTTGGAATTTCAATCTTGTCTATTATTATTATTATTATTTTTCTCTAATTATTGTTTTCCCTCTTAACTACTTTGTGATTAATATAATACATAGAGGACAAGTAAAAAATTTGCAAACAGATTTAGTAGTTTAAAATTCTTTGGGCCTGTTTCACAAGGGTGGTAAGCTAACACTGTTGTATTATATCAATCAGCATTCAACCAGAAATGATAATTAGGTGTATATGTCTATGGAGATTCTCAGTCATCCAGGTCATGGTTGTCCTAAAGGTGCTTTTTCAAGAGGCAACTAGACATTCTTGTTTTTCTTTGAAGATGTTTCACTTCTCATCCAAGAAGCTTCTTCAGCTCTGACTGAATCCTTCCATTCCCCACCATCCAGTCAGAGCTAAAAAAGCTTCTTGGATGAGATATGAAATGTCTTCAAAGAAAAACAAGAAAGTCCAATCTTGAAAAAGCAGCTTTGGGACATTATGTATATATGTGTTTATTTTTTTTTAAGACGCTTTTCGTTTTTAATGTCTTGTTTCTTGTTTGTTTTTTTAAATATTTTTTTAATATTCTGGTGTATTGTATTTTAACTTCCTGTGAATAAACTAAATATTACACAGGAGAAGAGGTGAATTTCTCATCTGCAGTTCATCTCTGCAGTTCATGAAATACCCTTGTGATGCCAATAGGAATCTATGTAGCAGCTCCCAACGTCCTCAGAATTCTCATGTTCAATCTGCAACAATATTTTTAAATTGTTACCGGAGCTTAATATCTGTGAAATTTCTCTGGCATTATTTAACGAAGGATGCCAGAAGTTAAGAGGCATGGTGAATTCACGCTCTTGAGATACCGTGGAGTCAAATGGCCATGCAATCTCCTAGCATTGGTCTCGTGAACTATTAATTGGTAGGAGATGAAGCTCAGATTAGCTGCAGGGCATCAGTTATCCTGATCCTGAGGGAGGCCACATAATTCTGTTTATAGAGAAAACTGCATGGCAATGAGGTGCCTGGTCCTGGTTATGGGCCATTAGGAGCATTTTGGCTTGATCTTACAAGAAAACAAGAAAAAGTACATCCCTCTGCAGGAGTGTTTTTCATTTAACAGGATATTTGACCGTGGTCAAAGAACGTAAGGTCAACTGACCATTACTGAACCTTGTAGGTAATCCTCAACTTACAACAGTTCATTCAGTGACCGTTCGAAGTTACAACGGCACCCCCAAAAAGTGACCTATGACTGTTTTTCACACTTATGACCATCGTAGCATCCCCATGATCATGTGATCAAAATCTGGACGCTCGGCAACTGGCTCTTATTGATGATGGTCGCAACGTCCCCCGGGGTCATGTGATCCTCTCGTGTCGCCTTCTGACAAGCCGAGTCAATGGGGAAGCCAGGCTCACTTAACAACTGTGTCACCAACTTGGCAACTGCAGCGATTCACTTAACAAATGTGTCAAGAAAGGTCATAAAATGGAGCAAAATTCACTGAACGGTTGTCTCATTTGGAGTTAAGTGGAGGATTACCATAAATGCCGGCGTATAAGGCGACTTCCGCGAGCGCTGAAATCGGCGCCAAAGACGGGGGTCGTCTTATATGCCGAGTCGTCTTATACGCCGGAAATACTGGTAGTTTCTGGCGTATAAGATGACGTTCTAGGAATGCAGCCCGGCTATAAAGACGGGGGTCGTCTTATACGCCGGGTCGCCTAATACGCTGGCATATACAGTACCTGTATTTTGGTTGCTTACTGTACTGTACGATAACCCTTTAAGGTAGTCCAGAGAAGAAGCACCTTACTGTGACACTTTATTATAACAACAGAATCTTGTTAAGTCTAAAAGTATATTTTTCCTCCCGGCTTTCACAGTTGAGGGAGGCTCCTTTCTGAGAGGACTGCCACACCTTCATTCCTTCTGAGGGCTCAGCGGCCTCTTATCTATCTGTTACCCAGTCTTCGGCTTCTCTTCCTCCTCCTGTCTCTCAAGAACATTCTCCCAGGCTTGCCTTTAGAAGTTGTGGGTGCTCCATCATTGGAGGATTGGAAGAAGAGACCGGACATCCGCTTGCCTGGAATGGTATAGGGCAGGGGTGTCAAACTGCCGGCCCGCGCCCACCCCATTGCCGGCAATGGGAAAAAAGTCACGATATGTCGCCACACGTCACGTGACGCGAGTTTGACACCCCTGGTATAGGGTCTCCTGCTTGAGCAGGAGGTTGGGCTAGAGCACGGCTTTTCAACCTTTTCACCCATTGTACCACTTTTAGGATATGGCAATATCCGAGTACCACCAGTTGCCTAGCAAGGTGTCAAAAATTGATGACCCAAAAAAAAAGGGAAAAAAGTGATGAAGTACAGGTAGTCCTCGACTTACAACAGTTCGCTTAGTGCAGTGGTTCTCAACCTGTGGGTTGAGACCCCATTTGGGGTCGAACGACCATTTCATGGGAGTCGCCAAACAACGCAGTCCGCCATTTTTTCCCCCTTTCCTTAGTTGTGCTACTCCCTTTTATTCTATTGGCTTTTGAAAGCCAATAGAATAGACTCTCTTGAATAGAGTCTAATTCTATTGGCTTTCAAAAGCCAATAGGAATTGTCCAGGCTGTCTCTGCCCTGCTGAGCCCGCCAAAAGTCCCATTCTGGAAACGGTGCTGCACCAGTTGAGTAGTCCTCGACTTACGACCGGTTGAGTAGTCCTCGACTTACGACCGGTTGGAGGTCGCGACATTAAAAAGGTTGAGAACCACTGGCTTAGTGACTATTGGAAGTTACAATGGCACTGAAAAAAGTGCCCCCCAAGGCACAGCCGAGCAAGACACCTGCCTGCCCACCCGGCGGCACTCTCATTCCCCTCCCCTGCTACCACTTTTCTAGGATGGTTGCGTACCACCTACCAGGTGCCAATGTACCACAGGTGGTACCCGTACCACTGGTTGAAAAGCCCTGCACTAGAAGACTTCCAAGGTCCCTCCCAACTCTGTTATTCTATTATTAATAGAGTATAATAAATGTCTATGGAGATTCTCAGTCATCCAGGTCATGATTGCCCCAAAAGTGCTTTTTTCAAGAAGCAACTGGACTTCCTTGATTTTCTTTTGAAGACATTTTCACTTCTCAACCAAGAAGCTTCTTCAACTTTGACTGGTTGGTGTGGAATTGAAGGATTCATACTCCTTGCAGACAGCTGGTCACTTCACTTCTTTTAGAGCAGGGGTGTCAAACTCAATTTCATTGAGGGCTGCATCAGCATTGCGGTTGCCCTCGGGGGGCCGGAGGACTGTGGCCAGGATGGGTGCGGCCTACTAGGTGGGCGTGGATGCAGTGGGTGTGGTCTACTGGGTGGGCATGGCCAGCTCTACATCGTTTGCGTCAAGGGTGCCTGTGGGGGCCTGGGCAGAAGTGGAACAGATCTGAGGGTCTCTGGCAGAAGGGGGTGGGACCAGGGCAAGCACCAAGGCATGGTCCATTTCTTCATTCTTCACAAAGGGTGACACCTCCACAGCATGCACCTAGGGGGCTGGGCCGACATGGCAGGGACTGGTTCCTCGCTGTTTCCAGATGGCCTTGTGGAGCTAGGACTGAATGCGTTTCAGCATAGATGGCCACCACAAAATTGTACATTGGCTCCCGGCCAGCCTGGGCCAGGGCCAAGGCAGCGGGGGCAGTTCCCTCATTGTTTCCAGGATGGCTTCGCGGGCCATATGAAACCACTTCGCAGGCTGCATCTGGCCCCCGGGCCTTGTGTTTGACATGTCTGTTTTAGAGAGTTGTTGAGGCCACCTGGAGGTTATTCTGTGTCATCAGGGTCACCTGAGTAGTGCAAATGGGTGTGGGGCCTTCTTAGGAACTGCTGGAAGGAGTGTGTTGTGGAGCTACAGAAACATCCTGCAGAAAATACAGCTCCACACACAGTCCTTTCAGCAGCTCCAAGTAGGCTCCACACCCATTTATACTACTCAGGTGACCCTGAGGACACAGATAAACCTCCAGGTGGCCTCAAGGACTCTCTAAAAGAAGGAAAATGACCAGCTGTCTGCAAGAAATATAAATCCTTCCATTCCCCGCCATCCAGTCAGAACTGAAGAAGCTTTTTGTATGAGAAGTGAAAAACAAAGGAAGTCCAGTTGCCTCTTGAAAAAGCATCTTTGGGGCCGTTAATAGAGCATTACACTTAGACAATTTGAGGTCCCAATCCTCTTTGACCCGTGCCTTGTCAACAGCCAATGCACAGGCGGCCACCTAGTTGCATCAACAGACATTACCTCCATTAATTTTTCCATGTCCTCCTTCACTTTCTCATACATGTCATTTGCAGCCTGAAGCTTCTGGGTCCATGCTGCCAAAGTCTCAGCATCCACTTTATGCTCCTTGTCCGAGGGCTGTGGACTCTCCTGAGTTCTCTCTGGCACCTGCAGGGTCTCCGGATGTAGGACAGATTTGAGCTGGGACTCCAGGCTGAGGTTTTCCCCTTTCAGAGTTTCCAACTCTTTCTGTAGTGATTCTATCTCATCCTAGTGGAGAAAAGGTCCAGAGTGAAGTAGAGACCACAGCTAAAACAGTACCAGTTTAAAGCAGATGAAGCCACAATGTTTTAATTCTCAGGGAGAGCTCTGAAGGGTGACCACAGTGCAGAATCTGATAAATGTTCTAGATTTAAGTGTGTTTCGCCAAATGACATATGCGTGGATCCCATTAAGTCAGTGGTTCTCAACCTGTGGGTCGGGACCCCATTTGGGGTCGAACGACCATTTCACGGGGGTCACCAAACAAGGCTGTCCGCCATTTTTCCCCCTTTTCTTTGGCCACGCCCCTGGCACCCGGTGATGTATAAGTGCTTGGGGGGTCACCACAACATGGGGAACTGTATTATGGGGTCGCGGCATTAGAAAGGTTGAGAACCACTGCATTAAGTGATACACAATTCTGCTGGATCATACTAAGGCAGTGGTTCTCAACCTTTTTAATGCCACGACCCCCAACCGGTCGTAAGTCGAGCACTACTCAACCGGTCATAAGTCGGGGACTACTCAACTGGTGCAGCACCGTTTGCAGAATGGGACTTTTGGCGGGCTCAGCAGGGCAGAGACAGCCTGGACAATTCCTATTGGCTTTTGAAAGCCAATAGAATTAGACTCTATTCAAGAGAGTCTATTCTATTGGCTTTCAAAAGCCAATAGAATAAAAGGGAGTAGCACAGCTAAGGAAAAGGGGAAAAAATGGCGGACTGCGTTGTTTGGCGACCCCCGTGAAATGGTCGTTCGACCCCAAATGGGGTCCCGACCCACAGGTTGAGAACCACTGTACTAAGGGATCATCTGGCCTGACCATCTTAATTCTGATAGCAGGGTAAGCAGAATCTGATTTAGTTGCTGTGCCTGGAGCGGTCCCTGACTTAAAGCAATAAGATCTGAAGCGATATAAAAGTTAAGCGTTGAATATATAGTATACATGTTTGCTGGGTATGCCGAGGAAAAGATGAGATCCAGTATTTCAGGCACACAAGTAGTTCACATGGAATACTTTGTTAAATATTTACAAGGAAAACATGAAAGTGATCCAAATAATGGAAGCACTCGTGATGAAGAGTTTTGGGGGATAAGTGAGGGCAGGACGGAAGAAAGATGAAATTGCTGGATTGGGTGAGAAGGAGACCCATGTTGTAGCATTTCAGCACAGAGATAAACTTGGTTCAAGTGTATCAGGGTGTTATTGATTTTTGGCAGTTTTCTAAAAGAACAAGGATGTAATAATTACAGGTAGTGCTCGAGTTACAAACTTTATGTTTCCAAGTGAAACATTTGTTAAGTGAGTTTGCCCCATTTTGTGACTTTTCTCGCCACAGTTGTTAAGTTGAATAATTGCATTTATTAAGTTAGTTAACGGTTGTTAGGTGAATCTGGATTCCCCACTGGCTTTTGTTTGTCAGAAGGTTGCAAAAGGGCATCACGTGACCCCGGGGACACTGCGACCGTCATAAATAGGAACCACTCGCCAAGTGTCTGAATTTTGATCACGTGACCATGGGGATGCTACAATGGTCGTAAGTGTGAAAAATGGCCTTAAGTCACTTTTTTCCAGTGTCGTTGTAACTCTGAATGGTCACTAAATGAACTGTTGTAAGTCGAGGACTACACCTGTATATACTGAGTACCATCAGGGAATCACTGCACGACTCACTGATAATTGGGGTGATCCTTTTGTTCCAGCCAATAATTTCTATTTTTTTAAAAAAGATACTTCACACTGAAATAGTATTTTTCAACAAGCTCCCAACACATGCTAAATAATTCTCCTGATCATCCCAGAATGTACAGCTAGACCTCAATTTACTGGCTTTTGTTTAGTGACCATTTGAAGTTACAACATCACTGAAAAAAACGGACTTAAAACTGACCACCTTTGCAGCATCCCCAGGGTCATGTGATCAAACACTTGGCAACTGACGTGTATGTATGAAGTCACTCATGCGATCGGCCTTTGGTGACTTTTTTTGACAAGCAAAGTCAGTGGGGGAAGCCAGATTCCTTTAACCATGTTACTAATTTAACAACGGCAGCGACTCTCTTAACAACTGCAGTAAGAAAGGTCGTAAAGTGGGGCAAAAACCCACTTAACAATTGTCTCGCTTTACCAACAAAATTTTCGGCTCAGTTGTGGTTGCAAGTTGGGGAGCACCCGTCCTACAAATACGCACAATCAAAGCACACAAATGAATATGTGTGCGATTTTTTCCTCATGATCAATTAGGAATAGAATAGAATAGAATAGAATAGAATAGAATTAGAATAGAGAATAAAATAGAATAGCATAGAATGCAGAATAGAATAGAGAATAGACTCGAATAAAGAATAGAATGCAGAATAGAATAGAATAGAGAATAGAATTAGAATAGAATGCAGAACAGAATAGCATAAAATAGAATAGCATAGCAAGCATAGAATGCAGAATAGAGAATAGAATAGAATAGAGCAGTGGTTCTTAACCTTTTTGAACGAATCGCCCCCTTGAGCCAATGAGGAAGTTGTCATTGCCCCCCTCCCCCAACATAACCTCTCAATCACAACATAGGAAATAATTCTTCAATTTATGCAAACACTTTTTTTTGTTTTCTTTAAAATTGTCATCAGGACATATGATGTAAATAATTTATTTCCAGTCTTTTTCCCATATCTCAACGGTGTGAAAAAATTTGATGCCACCCGTCACTTTATTCCCAAACTTTGTGATACATGTATTTCATTATTATCTTATTTATTCAAGACACTTAAATGTAATGACCACTGAAAACAAAATTCAATTGCAAGAAAGTGAAATGCCCGAAAAGAAAAACAGTAACATTTAATGACTGAATTACAGGTGAAATTTAAGATGCAAAAAGAAATATAAAAAGGGTATAAGAACAAACCACAATGCAGGAACTAAGAATTTCAAAATGAAAACTCTGAAATTAAATTAAGATTCGAGGAAAGTATATATAGTCACGCACACTGTAAAAAGAATTAAAAAGACACAAAGAAAATATAATATCGAACTGGAGTGCACACTAAAAAAGTACAATACAAAGAGACACACAAAACAGCATGCGATGTTTCAAAAGAAACGCTCCCCCCTCCATCACTGCCCATTCTGGCCAATGGTGCGCCACTGTATGGGTAGAGGAGGGGTAAGCAACCCAAAACACTCAAAGAACCACTTGGACCCGTTTCCCACCGAAAACAAAACAAAACACTGGGAGCCGCACTGGGAGAGAGAGACCCTTTTGACATCTAAAATGAAGATAACACTGCATATATCCTTTTTTACCTTTATATCTTTAGCTATATATCTTCAGTGTTGTCTTCATTTTAGATGTCAAAAGGGTCTCTCTCTCTCTCTCCCCCTCCCTCTCTCCCTCCCTCCCTCCCTATTTCTGCCCTTGGTTTGCCAGTCCTCTTCCCCCACTCAATGTGTGTGTGTGTGTGTGTGTGTGTGTGTGAGAAAGAGAGAGAGGGAGAGAGAGGCACTTGCCCTTCCTCTCTCTCTCTTTCCTCTCTTTCTCTTTTTCTCTTTCCCCTCTCCCTCTCTCTTTCCTCTCCCTCCCTCCCCCCTTCTTTCTCCAGGTGAGGAGAGAGAGAGAACAAAAGGCAGAGGAGGCTGAAGGGGTGGGGAGGGGGGGCAGGATGCAGCAGAAGACACTCTGTCGCTGCTGGAGGCACCCAGCTCCGATGCCCGCTGGGCTTGCGGGGACGCCCCGGCTCACGGTCATGTTGGCAGGCCGTCCCATGTGCTGCTGGCATCTCCGGGCTCAAGTCAGGGCCACGGGGCATCTGCGGAATGCCCCGACCGTTGGCTGAATCGCCAAGCCTCCTATGCCACCGGTGTCCCTGGGCTTAAGTCACGGGGTATCCGCAGAATGCCCATCAGCTGCATCGCCAAACCTTCTCCCGCGCCACCGGCGTCCTCAGTCAGAACCAGGGCAACGATCCGCCTCCCGCCAGGACCAATGCTGGAGCCTCCCGTGCTGCCGGTAGGTCCATTGTGCTGGAAGAGCTGGGGCCACTCCGCACTGCGTGGCGCTCCCGGCAATCTGCAACCCAGGAGCGTCGCCCAGGGCACAATGCCCCCGTCGACCGCCGGCCCAGCCGGGACTGCTGCCTGGGGGGCAGCAGGAGGAAGAAGGAGAGGAGGAGGAGGGCAACGAAGCTGGCGCCGGGCCCCAGGAGGAGGGCTCCCGCGGGTCTGGCCGGGGCTCTTCTGCTACTGGTTGGAAAATGCCTCCCCCTCCCTTTCTTTCCCCCATCTTCTGTTCACCTCACATTCTTCGCCGACAAAGCAGCCGGGACTCCGACGCGCCTTCCCAGCCAGCTGGGCCAACGGTCCCGTGGCTGGGGATCGCAGGGGCTGCTCTCCCTCGGGGCCGTGGCTTATGGGAAGGCTGGCCCGCTCAGCTGAGGCTCTGGTGGGCTGCTCTCAGCGGGGATCCTGGGGCTTCCCCGCGCGGTTCCCCGGCCATGTGCACCTCGGAGAGGGCCAGCCAGGGAAAAGGACTTCCTGGCTGCGCTTCTCCCAGTGGGCGGGGTACCCGGGGGCAGCGCCAATCAGGAGCCCTGCGAGGGGGCAAATCCGCATGAGAGAGAGAGAGAGAGAGAGAAGCACAAGTGCTTCTCTCTGTCTCTCTCTCTCTCTCTGCTAATGGCGGAGGAGGCTTGGAGCCACAGGGGAAGGCTCAAAAGTGTCCCCAAAACTTCTCCATCGACCCCATATCGCCCTCTTTTCATTCCTTCGCCCCCGCGTCGCCCCTTTTCGTTCCATCGCCCCCCCTGAAAAACAAAATCCCATGTTAAGAACCACTGGAATAGAGAATAGAATAGAGAATAAAATAGAATGCAGAATAGGATAGGATAGGATAGGATAGGATAGGATAGGATAGGATAGGATAGGATAGGATAGAATGCGGAATAGAAATAGAACAGAACAGAATAGGAATTCTTTACTGGCCAAGTGTGGTTAGACACACAAGGAATTTATCTCCTATGCAGGGAGTTGCCCCTAACCCAGTGGTTCTCAACCTTTTTAATGCCGCGATCCCCAACCGGTCGTAAGTCGAGCACTACTCAACCGGTCCTAAGTCGAAGACTACTCAACGGGTGCAGCACCGTTTGCAGAATGGGACTTTTGGCGGGGCAGAGACAGGGCAGAGACAGCCTGGACAATTCCTCAGCAGGGCAGAGACAGCCTGGACAATTCCTATTGGCTTTTGAAAGCCAATAGAATTAGACTCTATTCAAGAGAGTCTATTCTATTGCTTTCAAAAGCCAATAGAATAAAAGGGAGTAGCACAGCTATGGAAAAGGGGGGGGGGAAATGGCGGACTGCGTTGTTTGGTGACCCCCGGGAAATGATCGTTTGACCCCAAATGGGGTCCCAACCCACAGGTTGAGAACCACTGACCTAACCCTTGCAAAGCTCTTGGTAGATCCTCAGACTCATCCACATCAATACAAAAAAGCACTTCTGGAGGTACAGAAGCATGCTGTCTCCCATCAGTCGTGCTAATGGATAAAACATTTCTCAAGCAACTATCTTTGCTGCAGTCGTACCTCGTATTCTTTGTGCAGTATCTCCAGTCTGGTTTTGCGAAGCTGTTTTCGGATGGCAGGGCTAAACACCGGGTTGCTTTCGCTCGTTCCTCCTGTAGCAAAATAAAAAAAAAAAAAATTAAAAGAAATCTCATATCAATGCTATTATTTTTGCATACTTGCAGGAAAATCAGATCAGCCTTAAATTGGGCCCATCTTGAAAACAGCTCTGTGAAACCCTCCTTCTTTACCCCCCATCAAAAATGCTTTTTCCTGTTTCAGCCAGCATAAACAAACAAAAAAAAAAGTGGCACCTGCTTCATGGAGAAAAGTTGCAACATGTCAGCCAACAATGATTTTTATGATGATGATGATGATGATCATCATCATCATCTAGATCAGTGGTTCTGAACCTGTCGGTCGGGACCCCATTTGGGGTCGAACGACCATTTCACGGGGGTCGCCAAACAACGCAGTCCGCCATTTTTTCCCCCTTTTCCTTAGCTGTGCTACTCCCTTTTATTCTATTGGCTTTTGAAAGCCAATAGAATAGACTCTCTTGAATAGAGTCTAATTCTATTGGCTTTCAAAAGCCAATAGGAATTGTCCAGGCTGTCTCTGCCCTGCTAAGCCAGCCAAAAGTCCCATTCTGCAAACGGTGCTGCACCAGTTGAGTAGTCCTCGACTTACGACCGGTTGAGTAGTCCTCGACTTACGACCGGTTGGGGGTTGCGGCATTAAAAAGGTTGAGAACCACTGATCTAGATTCAATTGGAAATCTGTTCAGGAAAACTAAGTTAATAGGTTGCTGCACACAGCTCCAGGGGTGCATTCCACCATTTAATTGCAGTGATGGGCAATCTGATTTTCACTATCCAAGCTGGGTCGTTCAACCTCTGGTCCTGGTGAATGGCCCAGATTGGATCCTGCAATATGATCCTGGGACATTTGCCTTTATTCACAATCCGATTTTCAGTTTAGTTTCAAAAAAAAAAAAATGCTTGCAAGTCGTCATCTGAAACTTGCCATGTTTTCTTTCCTCAATTAACTGAGAAAGGAGAGGGGGGGGGGCGGATAGTGGATAGTTAGACTAACTACCTAGCACAGTGTTTCTCAACCTTGACAATTTTAAGGCATGTGGACTTCAACTCCCAGAATTCCACAGCCAGCAATGCTGGCTGTGGAATTCTGGGAGTTGAAGTCCACATGCCTTAAAATTGTCAAGGTTGAGAAACACTGATTTCTAGCAAATCAGTGAATAAGAGAGGAAGATTAGTGGTTGTCCCAAAGCTGTTTTTTCAAGAGGCAACTGAACTTTCTTGTTTTTCCCTTGTACCTCACATTTTCTTTCCCCCCCCCTCTCCTTTTCCTTCCCCTAATTTCTTATTTCTGTTTTTCTTTGAATTTTATATATTAAATATATTTTTTTAAAAAGAAAGAAAAACATTTGCTGCAACATGTCTATGGAGATTCTCAATCCCAAAGGTGCTTTTTCATAAGACAGTGTTTCCCAAACTTGACAATTTTAAGGCATGTGGACTTCAACTCCCAGAATTCCACAGCCAGCAATGCTGGCTGTGGAATTCTGGGAGTTGAAGTCCACATGCCTTAAAATTGCCAAGTTTGGGAAACACTGTCATAAGGTGACATATAAGCCTCCAGGTGGCCTCAAAGTCTCTCTAAAAGAGGGCAAATGACCAGCTGTCTGCAAGGAGTATAAATCCTTCCATTCCCCACCATCCCGTCAAAGCTGAAGAAGCTTCTTGGATGAGAAGCGAAGCGTCTTCCAAAGAAAAACAAGAAGAGTCCAGTTGTCTCTTGAAAATACACCTTTGGGACCTGAGTGACTGAGAATCTTCATAGGCAAAAAATCATATTTTCTCCCTTCTGATCTCAAGCAAAAGGGCCTCTCCCCATCAAGGGGACAAAGGGTTAGCTTTCTCTCTCTGCATTAGGGTATAAAACAGGGGTCTTCAAACCTGGCCCTTTTATGACTTGTGGACTTCAACTCCCAGAATTCCTCAGCCAGAGTGCCTGGAGTTGAAGTCCACAAGTCATAAAAGGAACAAGTGTGAAGACCCCTGGTATAAAAGAACACTGTACGTATTCAAAGGGAAAGAGAGTTACTTTACCTAGGACCTCTTTGCAAGGATTGTCAGGGGTGATGGGGATCCTACAAGCAGGACACTGGCTGTTGTTCTTCAGCCATACTTCAATACAAATAGAGCAGAAGACATGATTGTTGGCACAGATGACAGGATGACGGACCTTAGGAGAAAGGAAGAGTAACAGTTAAACCAAAGCATCCATTTGCTTGCAAGAAAGAAAAGGCCATGATTTGGTATTCAAGGAAAAATGATCCTAAACAAGCTGTCCCCTGGCCAGGCCTACAATGTTAGTATCCAGTCTACAACTGCCTATCTACTCACCACAAGGGAAGCTCTTACCCTTTCAAATTGTGCCCACCTTCTCAAACAAGTCCAAGCTGATTATATATAAGCAAAAAGTAAACTAAAACTTAAATGGACTCCAGAGCTTAAATGGACTCCAGAAGATGGTAGAGGACAGGAAGACCTGGAGGAACGTTGTCCATGGGGTCGCAATGAGTCGGACACGACTTCGCAATTAACAACAACAAAAACTGCACACTATCAACTGCCAGCATACATAAAAACACCTTTGATCAGGCTGTGACAATAAGTTTCACAATTATGAATTAAACCAGTGGTGGCGAACCTATGGCACGGGTGCCAGAGGCGGCACTCAGAGCCCTCTCTGTGGGCACACGTGCCGTTGCACCAGCCTCGCTTCCCCCTGCGACCCCTCCTCTCCAGCAGCCCCCCCTGAAGGAGAGTCGCCCCTGAGCGTGGCCCACCCGGAGCAGCGCAGCCACGGACATGGCAGCCAAGCAGCGTAGACAAGACTCTGCCCTTACTCCCCATCATGCACAGTTGATGCTGCAGGGCACGGGCAGAGGGCGTGACCGCCATAGCGCTGCTGGGCTGCCTGGGCGATCTGTGGCGGGCCCTGGAGCTGGTGAGTGGTCCTGTGGGCAGGTGGGGCGGGGGATGGGGGCGGAGCGGGGGCGGAGCAGGAGGTGGAGTGGGGGCGGGGCCAGTTTTTGGGCACTCAGTCTCTAAAAGGTTTGCTATCTAAAAGGTTCGCCATTAAACTATCATTCTCCTTGGTAGGAATGGAAGGTTAGCAAACTCTTTCCTGAAGGCTCTCTACGACCAGTAAAGAAATTCATTAAAAAAAATTGGCAACCTGCACAGTTTGCAAAGGGCAATGATATCTACAGTAGCTTCAAATAAGAGCTAAGTAGGATTTCCACATTCAAAGGCTGTAGGAAACAGGGTTCCAAAAGAGGCAGTTCATATCTTTAACAAGCATGGGACACCCCTTTCCAAAGCAAGTTGTGGGCATCATATCTGAACACATAACAACAGCTCATGGATAAGGCACCCATTCCATTGCTGAATCTCCATAACTCAGCAGAGGATTTCAGCACTCGGTCCCTTATATACAAACAAGGCTTCACATGATCTGGGAACGCTTACAAACTAAGTTCCTAATCATACATAGAGAAATAAACCACCCCCGGCTCCATCATTTTAAATCTCCCCACTCAACATAAAGTCAGAAATCAACCCTATGAAACTGGCACTTGAAACTGCCTGTCTCATCTCCACGTTGCTCATGCTCCAATATCTCAGGGGCTCCCACAAAGAAAAGTGAGTCAAGCTACTCTCCAAAGCACCTGAAGGCAGGACAAGCAGCAAAAGATGGAAAGTAATCAAGGAGAGAACCAATCTAGAAATAAGGAGAAACTTCCTAACAGTGAGGACAATTAACCACTGGAACGGCTTGCCTCCAAAAGTTGTGGATGCTCCATCACTGGAGGTTTTAAAGAAGAGACTGGACAACCATTTGTCTGAAATGGTAAAGTTGCCAACCATGGCAAACTTTAAGACTTGTCAACTTCAACTCCCAGGGATTCCCCAGTCAGCATAGATAGCTGAGGAATTCTGGGGGTTGAAGTCCACGTCTTAAAGTTACCAAGGTTGGAGACCCCTGCCCTAGACCCTTGACCAGGGGGTTGGACTAAAAGACCTCCAAAGTCCTTTCCAACTCTGTTATTCATTAGGGTTTAGTGCCCGAATCGATTGCAATAGGGTTAATACGTCAATTCCCTTATGTTTACAGATACATGGGTCTGTAACAGAGTTGTTGCAGCATTCTACTCTCAAGCTGCTTCACAGAGAATTGGAAGTGTGGATAGCATGACCTGCAACTCCTCAAACCAACTATCTCCCCCCCCCCATTGCAATGCTGCCCTCCACAGGTGCACCTGTTCCTAAGAAAGGATCAGATGTCCAAAGAATTGTAGGCCAGTGCTTTGTGAGCAGTTCTGGACACTCCAAAAGTCCTTTCCTCCTTCAAATCTTAAGTGCTGTATAACCCTAGTGCAGGGGTAGGCAACCTTGGCCCTTTTATGACTTGTGGACTTCAACTCCCAGAATTCCTGAGCCAGCATGGCTCAGCTTGGAAACCTCTCCCTTTCCCCTCAGCATGGCTGGTTCAAGAATTTAAGTTACCGAGGGATCTTACTGTTAACTAGGTAATGATGCTGGCTGGAGACGTCTGGGAGTTGAAGTCCAGACATTTTCAAAGAGTCAAAGTTGAGGAACACCATAACAACAACAACAACAACAACAATAATAGAGTTGGAAGGGACCTTGGAGGTCTTCTAGTCCAACCCCCTGCTCAGGCAGGAAACCCTATATCATTTCAGACAAACGGCTGTCCAGTCTCTTCTTAAAAACTTCCAGTGTTGGAACTTTCACAACTTCTGGAGGCTGGTTGTTCCACTGATTAATTGTTCTAACTGTCAGGAAATTAGGCAAACATCATACTTGCCTGTGGCCTCGCGGTTTCCACAGAAAGTTCATAACCAGTCAGAAAAAAAAAGACATTTATATTTGGCTTTGTCTCAACAGCTTGATGTTGTCAAATGACTGCTGTCTCAACAATAGAGGATTTTAAAACTTACTGGAAATTAAAAAAAAAAAATCCAAAAATCAGATTGCACATTTCTTTCTAAGAAAGATCACTTTAAAAAATTCTGTCTTCTTTTATTGGCATTTTCAGTTGACTCTGTCAACCAGAAATGGACAGGTGGTATAAATGTCTCAGCACTTCTGCAGAGTGCTGGATCAGAACATGATTAGATGAGAAAGGACAGGTAGTCTTTAGCGACCAAAGTTACAGCAAAAAAAGTAACCGATGACCACTTTTCACACTTTATGACCATTGCAGCCTGCCCATGGTCATGTGATCAAAATTCGGGTGCTTGGACACTGGCATAGATTTATGACAGTTGCATTGTCCCGGGATCACCATTCGTAACTTCCCAGTTTGTTTCCAACAACAATGGTGGAAGCCTGATTTGCTGAACAGCCACATGCAAGGTCCCTTAGCAACAGCAATGATTCACTTCAACAACTGTAGAAAAAAAACGGTCATAAGATGGGGCAAAACTCACTGAACTCTTGTTTCACTTAGAAAGGAAAGTTTTGGGCCCAGTTGGGATCGTAAATCAAAGGCACCGTTGTTCTGTCCCAGCCTACGTGAGTCCTTGTTATGCTCACAAGGAGAAACTCCTCTTCCAAGAAACAGGCAGGAACCGCAAGAAAAACCAACCCCTTTTATTCTCACAGACCTGAGTCAATGTCCAAGGCAAACAAATACAGTCCACAGAAACTCGATCCTCAACACAAACGGTTATCTTCAGCAACCAGCACCTCCCACCCCTTCCCTTTTATAATTCAGTCAAGGCATGGCTTCCTAATGCCTTCTCCTTTGCCTTTGGAGCCGCACCATTGCATTCCTCTGTCCTACTCACTTCTCTTTCCTGCGCATTCGTGCATCCGTGATTTGTCCCATCTGTTCTTCATCACTGTCCAACTCAGGCTCCCAGCACAGCTGTGTCTCAGCCTGAGCGCGTGTGGAGGGGCCAGGCTCCTCGTCCAACTGTAAGTCTTGGAGCTCCTGACTCTAATGTCACTCCAGGCCCCTCCTCCTCATTTGATTCCTCAGACTCAGCTGCCGGATCCACTGCCTGGTGAGGAATCATGACAACCGCTACCAGAGTCCTTGTAGGTAATTGGATATGGGTTACCAAGTTTTAGAAAATTAAACCTACAAACGTTTCTTCAGACAGCCCATCATTTCCCTTCTTGAATGTGCAAGGAACACATACTTTTCTTGCACATGTGTTTAAATGCCCAATCGGTACACATTGAACAGTTTATCAGAGAAAGAGAAATCAATGTATTTTCTAAACCAGGGATAGGCAACCTTGGCTCTTTTATGACTCCCAGAATTCCTGAGCCAGCCATGCTGAAGGGAAAGGGGGAGTTTCCAAGCTGAGCCATGCTGGTTCAGGAATTCTGGGAGTTGAAGTCCACAAGTCATAAAAGAGCCAAGGTTGTCTACCCCTATTCTAAACCATTGCAGGCAGCCCTCAACTTACGACACACAATTGAGTCCAGAATTTCTGTTTCTGAGTGAAACAGAGATCAGTGAGTTTGGTTAAGTGAGTTTTGCCCCATTGTTACCTTTCAGTTGTGAAGTGAATCACGGCAGTTGTTATATGAATAACACGGTTGTTAAGTGAAATTGGCTTCCCCATTGGCTTTGCTTGTCAGACGGTCAGAAAAGGGGATCCCATGATCCTGGGACATTGCAACTGTCATAAATATGAGTCAGTTGCTAAATATCTGAATTTTGATCACGTGACCATGGGGATGCTGCAACGGTCGTAAGTATGAAAAAGAGTCATGTCGCTTTTTTCAAGGCCGTTGTAACTTTGAATGGTGGCTAAATGAACTGTCGTAAGTTGAGGACTACCTGTAATATCCTATCAAGCGGGTCACCAGTAATTGGCTCAAGACTTAGAAGACAATAAAGCAAAGGCAAATTTCATCTCCCGTGTAACTTTTCAAGTTCAAGGGTAGCTAGGTAAATGGAAGTGTAGTCATTGCTTCAATACACAGTAAAATGTTACAATGAAGTTTCATTACCTGCCTTTTCCACCTAATGAGAAGGAAGGACTCACTGGAGAAGAGCCTAATGCTGGGAAAGATTGAGGGCAATAGAAGAAGGGGACGACAGAGAATGAGGTGGCTGGATGGAGTACTGAAGCAGTAGGCGTGAACTTAAATGGACTCCAGAAGATGGCAGAGGACAGGAAGCCCTGGAGGAAC